GTCTGCTGTTGGAGCTCCTCAGTACGGACACTTTGGGCAGGATCTGGCCCCATTTGGATGGATGATGTTGGCTGTAATGGCACCGAATCTGCCCTGTCTGACTGCACACACGGAGGATGGGGTGAACATAACTGTGATCATATCCTTGATGCTGGAGTGGTGTGTTCAGGTAAGGGGACAACCTATTCCATACCTCTGGGGCTGGGGTTGTGGAAGGAACCTGGATGTGCCCTAAAGGAACGTAAATCAGGCACCAGAGCATTGCTCAATGTGGCCAGTCACACTGCCGAGCTGGGACTGTCATTACTGGAGTGCCCAGTCCCTGGGGAAAGCCCAGTGGGAACCTGCCCAGGGGTGCCTTACCGTGCCTGGTCCCTGAGCTGGCACAGATGAACCCTCCATCCCTGCCCTGCATTGTCTATTGATTCCCATCTTTCTCCTCCTGTTCACCCAGGAGCTGTCTGGCGGTGCTGCGGGCCAGCTGCCCCCATGCCAGAGGCACCAGAAGTGACTCCTGTGGCCATCCACCGTCCTGGGGAAGGGCGTGAGATGGGGAGATACTTTTAGGTTGTCCCCCCCAGCAGACACAGGTCCCTTGGCTGATGTGTTTGTGCCACCAGCACCCCCTGAGAGTAGCTGGGGGATGTCGTAGGGATTTTTCCTGGAGGCCACCTTGGAGACCAGCTGGCATGTAGTCAGGGTATTGCCAAAGGGCTGTGGGAACTCTCAGGGATCATTGGTTGGTCCCGAATCTGTCCATCTGCTCTAAGGGCACAGATCCTCCTGAGGACGTATAGTGATCCATGAGGAGGCCTTTTGGACAGCGGTGTGTGACTCACACTTTGGTCCCAACGGTGTCAACGTGGTTTGCAGAGTCTGCTGTGGGTCTGCAATAGACACACACACCTGAGTTCTGTGATGGTGGAGAGAAGGTGTGTAACTTGGCCTGGATGTGTTTCTGACACCAACACTTTCCCAACAGCTTCCTCTGTCGTTAATGTAAAAGTCAGTCTGTAAAGAAACTCTCAGAGACCAAGGTTTATTTTTCTGAAAGAAGCATTCCTTTACTGGTGCCAGGCCAGTGAGGCATAATTCCACCTAGCACCGACCCCCTGAACTTGTTAGTATCCTGTTAATATAGGAAAAGGTCATACATATTCATTATCTTTATGGTGAGTATATACATAAGTATAAGCCTTCCCTGGTTCTCCTTTTAATATTATAATGTCCTTTACACAGGCGTGGTAGTGCATCCTTGTGGTCGTTTCAGTATGTCGGTGGCTGTTACTTCCTCCTTGCTCATTTTCTTTACCTTGTCCTTTTCTTAAAATTGTCTATATTGATACTCATCTTTGTTTTCATTAAGTTCACACATGACAAAATCAGGCCATTCTTGTCTTTTTGTAACTCTTCTTCTTGTTATTATCTTTGGGCATTCACCACGTATCCTACTTAATCAAAGCTGACCTTGGATGGTCAGTAGATAAGTGCAAGGCTATCCAATTAAGCAACCACTATCCTCAAAATATAGCAATTAAGCAACTACTATCTTCATAGGCCTATTGTTAACAATAACAGCTCCTTTCAAGGACCTACCTTCTACGCAATCTGTCCTTTCAAAGAAATATTACAAGGAAACTTAAAGCTATTGGGATATGCAGTGGGTGATTTGGTCACATCTTGCTTAGAGGTGGTGTGGGATGTGAGTATGTGAATGCCAGAGGGCTCTGGGAACTCCCAGTTGATTAGATTTTTTTCCAGAATTTTTCCGGCTAGTGGAAGGGAAGAGCCGCTGCTCAGGACGTGTGGAGATCCGTGACGGGGACCTGTGGAAAAGTGTCTGTGATTCCCACTTTGGTGCCAAGGCTGCTGACGTGCTCTGCAGGGAGTTGCAGTGCGGCGCAGCCCTGCCTGTCACTGGAGGAAGTCACGTTGGAGAAGGGGTGGGTCCCATGTGGGATGGAGAGCTGCGGTGTGTGGGGAATGAATCCCTCCTCGCCTCCTGCCCCAGGGGGTCCCCCCGGGACCAGCCCTGCACCCAAGCAAACAGCGCTGCTGTGAACTGCACAGGTAAGGACTCAGGGTGGGCTGTTGAACACCTGGGCTGTGCCGGGGGCAGGGGAGGAGGGCAGGGACAGTGCTGGCCTTGGTATGAGAACAGGAGGGGTGATGTTGTCTCCTGCAGTCTGCAGTTACGCAGGAAAAGATGCAGAAGCCAATGTCTCGCTTCTGTTCCATCCTCCTGCATTTGGTGCACGGCTGCCGAAAGGTTCAGGATGGGGACAGAGTCCCTCTGTCCCCTTAGTTACTGTAGCTGCTCCTCTGGGTGCAGTTGTGCAGGGGGAAACGCCTGCTACCCTGCCACAAAGCCCTGGGTCCAAGGAGCAGCACAGGGATCCCTCTGGAAATGGGGCTTCTTCCCGTGTGTCTATGTGACAAGGGGTAGAAAGTGAACAGGTTCACTGAGCCTGTGCTTCTCTGCGTGGCAGAAGGGCTTTTCTGCTTCCAGGGCTCCCACGTTTCTGGCCGTTGGTACCCGCGTGTGGATTTGCCATCCTTGGGCATCCCTGGGGCCCTGGCTCTGCCAGCTCTGTTCCCTGTGAGCTGGTGGTGCCTTAACTGGTGGCTCTTTGTTCTGTCATCCCAGAGGAACAGCCAGCCTCCGGGGTACCCAGGAAGGGGTGTGGGCTCTTCACTCTTGTCCCGGAGTCAGGGTGATCCCCGGCCTGACCGGGGGTGGGTTGTGCTTGTGGAGACAAGGGAACTGGGGTATCTGTTCCCAGAGGCTCGCAAAGGGGTAAGCTTCCTGCGGGGATCCCAGACAAGGTCAGGTCTGGGCTGATGCCCAAGGACAAGGAGGGAGCATGGGTTGGGAGGCCTCACTGGGACCATCATTCTGCTCCACAGGGGACACGGAAAGTCCTGAGGGAGGAGGGTGAGTTGGGAGAGGCCCAGGGCAGGCTGTGGTCCAGGGGAGCTGGGGGCTCTGGGGAGGAGTAGCCATGTGAGCCTGGGGGATCCCTGGTGGGGACAGGTCCCTTTTCAGGGTGCTGTCTGGGGAGGAGCAGGAGCCCTGGGTGGGCACAGGTCAGGGGCGAGGGGCTGTTGGAGTGGATGGAAGTGTCAGAGTGTGTGGTGCCACAAATGACCCAGCAGGGCTGGAGCTGGGCACCCCCAGTCTTGCACAGCCCATGAGGAGAGAAGGGACTCCTGAACTGCCCTGGGGACAGCCTGGAGGGGAGTGGGCTCCCACCCTGGTGCCTCTGACTCCACCTGCACAGGGCTTCCCCAGACCCGCAGTGCTGGGGCTGAGCGCTGTCCTTACTGGTCCTGTGTCAGTGTTTGAAGGTGCTGTGGAGGTGAGGCTGGCAGACGGCGGCAGGCGCTGTGCTGGGAGAGTGGAGGTGAAACAACAGGGCAAGTGGGGGACTGTGTGTGGTCACTACTGGAGCATGAAGAATGCAGCAGTGGTTTGTAAACAGCTGGGCTGTGGGTCTGCTGTTGAAGCTCCTCAATACGGACACTTTGGGCCAGGATCTGGCCCCATTTGGATGGATGATGTTGGCTGTAATGGCACCGAATCTGCCCTGTCTGACTGCACACATGGAGGATGGGGTGAACATGACTGTGGTCATTTTGATGATGCTGGAGTGGTGTGTTCAGGTAAGATGACAACCTATTCCATACCTCTGGGGCTCAGATTGTGGAAGGAACCTGGCTGTGCCCTCAGGGAGCAACAGTCAGGCATCGGAGCATTGCCCAGTGTGGCCAGTCACACTGCTGAGGGACTGTCATTACTGGTGTCCCCAGTCCCTGGGGAAAGCCAGTGGGAACCTGCCCAAGGGTGCCTTACTGTGCCTGGTCCCTGAGCTGGTGCAGATGAACCCTCCATCCCTGCCCTGCATGGTCTGTTGATTGCCATCTTTCTCCTCCTGTTCACCCAGGAGCTGTCTGGCAGTGCTCAGGGCCAGCTGTCCCCATGCCAGAGGCACCAGAAGTGACTCCTGTGGCCACCCACCGTCCTGTGGAAGGGCGTGAGACGGGGAGCTACTTTGCGGTTGTCCCCCTTAGCAGACACAGGTCCCTTGGCTGATGTGTTTGTGCCACCAGCACCCCCTGAGAGCAGCTGGGGATGTCGTAGGGTTTTTTTGCCTGTGGCCACCTTGGAGATCAGCTGGCATGTAGTCATGGTATTGCCAGATGGCTGTGGGAACTCTCAGGGGTCATTGGTTGGTCCAGAATCTGTCCGGCTGCTCTAAGGGCACCGGTCCTCCTGAGGACGTATAGTGATCCATGATGAGGACCTGTGTGACTCACACTTTGGTCCCAACGGTGCCAACGTGGTTTGCAGACTCTGCTGTGGGTCTGCAATAGACACACACCCCTGAGTGCTGTGATGGTGGAGAGAAAGTGTGTAACTTGACATGGATGCCTTTGTGACACCATCACTCCTTAAATAGCTTCTTCTGAGATGTGCAGTGAGCGATTTTTGTCACAGTTTGCGTGGAGATGGTCTGGGATGTGGGCATGGGAATGCCACAAGGCTCTGGGAACTCCCAGTTGATTTATTTCCAGGATTTTTCCGTCTGGTGGAAGGGAAGAACCGCTGCTCAGGACGTGTGGAGATCCGTGACGGGGACCTGTGGAAAAGTGTCTGTGATTCCCACTTTGGTCCCAAGGCTGCTGATGTGCTCTGCAGGGAGTTGCAGTGCGGCGTAGCCCTGCCTGTCACTGGAGGAAGTCACGTTGGAGAAGGGGTGGGTCCCATGTGGGATGGAGAGCTGCGGTGTGTGGGGAATGAATCCCTCCTCACCTCCTGCCCCAGAGGGCCCCCCCGGGACAAGCCCTGCACCCACGCAAACAGCGCTGTTGTGAACTGCACAGGTAAGGACTCAGGGTGGGCTGTTGAACACCGGGGCTGTGGTAGGGGTTGGGGAACAGAGCAGGGACTGTGCTGGGCCGGGTGTGAGGACAGGAGGGTTGATGGGTTTGTTTGCAGCATGACAATACTGCAGAAGGAGAACAAAGACATGTGGTCCCTCTGGCCCCTCCACCAGCTACTGAGGGTACAGGAGCACCAATCCACTCTCTTTTCTCCACATCTGTCCCCAGAGTACACAGGGATCAGACTGGTGAACGGCAGCACAGTGTGTGCGGGGAGGGTTGAGGTCCAGGTGCTGGGAACCTGGGGGACCCTCTGTGCCTCCCGCTGGGACCTCTCGGATGCCCACGTTCTCTGTCGTCAACTCAACTGCGGGTTTGCTGAGTCCATTCCTGGAGGAGAATATTTTGGGAGAGAAACTGGCCCTGTCTGGAGAGACTCATTCCACTGTGACGGGACTGAAGCTCTCCTGCAGCAGTGCCCAGTGACCACCTTGGGCGCCTCGCCGTGCTCCCAAGGGAACGCTGCTGCTGTCCTTTGCTCAGGTTAGTGCTGGAAAAATGCTGCATAAACTCCATTTGTCACTTGTGTGCAACATAGCCACTAAAAGTAGGGGTTCCATGGCCGTATCAGGCTGAATTTCTCCTTGGGGAAACCCTGGCTTCCCCAGGAACTGTCTGGAGGGCTTTCCCTGCTCAGACTGACCGCTCGACTTTGGGAGAGCTGAGGACTGAACGGAGGCAGGCATCTGCCCCCAGGGCAGTGGCTTAGGCCCCAGCACCACCGCCAGGCCCAGGCTCCTCTGTCCGTACTGTGCAGCGAGCCCAGGACAGGGCTGCAGGGCTCTGCTCCATCCCTCTGGCTGCAGCCGACCGCATCCCGTCCCCACAGAGAGCCCTGCAGAGCCTCATCCCCCCACCCAGGCAGGAGCTGGTGCCCCCAGCAGCAGCTGACCTGGCTGTGAGCTGCAGAGAGGGCCCAGGCTTTGCCCTCACTTCTCGTCAGCACAAGGCTCCACCTTGTCCCGTTTGGTTGAAAATCCCCCTTGCCCTGCTCCCTGCAGGGTGCCATGCTCCCGGTGCCCGATGGCCGTGGCATCTGCTCTCCCCAGGCCCAGCCGGCTTTGGATCCCTGCGGCTGGTGGGCGGAGGGAGCCGGTGCGACGGACGAGTGGAGATCTTCCAGGATGGGGCGTGGGGCAGAGTCCTGGATGAGCAGTGGGACGTGCAGGAGGCCAGCGTGGTGTGCCGGCAGCTGCAGTGCGGAGAGGCAGGGACAGCCTACAACCCCCCAAAGCCTGAGCGAGGGACGGGCCCCGTGGGGCTGCGAGGGGTCCGGTGCGCAGGGCACGAGGCCAAGCTGACCCTCTGCAACACCTCCCTGCCCGGCAGTGCGCTGGCGGCAGGGCTTGCGGAGGACGTGGGAGTCATTTGCTGGGGTGAGTGGCACTGCCCAGGCGCCCAGGTGACGGTCTGCGCAGGCAGGCAGGCCCTGACAGCGACTGGGGTTTCCACCCGCTGCAGGGAGCCGGCGGGTCCGGCTGGTGAACGGGGCCGGGCGCTGCGCGGGGAGAGTGGAGATCTACTCCCAGGGCATCTGGGGGACTGTCTGCGACGACGGCTGGGACCTGTCTGATGCCGCCGTCGTTTGCCACCAGCTGGGCTGCGGAGAGGCAGTGGAGGCAGCCGGCTCCGCTCTTTCGGGGAAGGCTCCGGGCAGATCTGGCTGGATGGTGTGAACTGCTCCGGGGCCGAAGCTGCTCTCTGGGACTGCCCGGCTGGGCCCTGGGGGCAGCACGACTGCGGGCACAAAGAGGATGCGGGAGTCTCTGCTCAGGTCTGTGCCACCTCAGGAGCTGTGGTGGGAGCCTGGTCCCGGGGAGGGCAGGACGCGGGGAGAGCCGGCCATGGCCAAGGCTGCCCCTGGCTGCCTCTGAGCTCCTGCCCAAGGCCCACCCATGCACGGACACCCTCAGTCCCACGGGGTCCCTGGGGAGCTCAGCTGTCCCCGAGGGTTCGCGGGAAGGGCAGGGCTGGCTGTAAATCCGGGACTTCTCTCTGCCCCTGGGTGCAAGGGGGATGTGGTGGCCTTGCCCCTGCCCAGCTGAGGGCCTGGGGGGTGTAGAGGTGTCCTGGCTCCCACAGCCCCAGATCAGCCTGTTCCCGCTTTGGGGCCTTTTCTTCCCAGAGTTCGTGGCCCTGAGGCTGGAGAACAGCGACGGCTGCTCCGGGCGCCTGCAGGTTTTCTACAACGGGACATGGGGGAGTGTTTGCTCTAACTCCACTCAGGACACGGTGACACTGGCGTGCAAGGAGCTGGGCTGCGGGGACGGAGGATCCCTGGAAACACGCCTGCCCTCTGGCAGGGTGTCTGGCCCTGCCTGGCTGGATCGCGTGCAGTGTGGGAGAGAAACAGCTCCTTCTGGCAGTGTCCCTCCACGCCCTGGAATCCACAGTCATGTGAATACCTGGAAGAGGAGATCCACATCACCTGCAATGGTAACTCTGAGCACCCATGCACCAGTGTCACCCCAGCTCCTGCTCCCCATGGGGCATGGCCAAACACAGAGAAAGAGCTTGAGAGCTTTTACTTTCCATGCCAGACCCTTATGCTGTCAGTGGCACAAACATGACCGCGGCCACACACATTCCAGCAGCAGTCACCCAGCTTACCAGCAGTGCCTGGAGGAGCAGAGGCATCTCCACGTGAGTCTCAGAAGAGACCAAACATGTTTCAGAAGAGCCTCCCCTCCACAGACAAGCTACTGCTGCTCTGTGAGCCAGGGACCTTCTGGGGCTGAGCAATCAGGGTCCCCCCACAGTCCTGCACGTGTCCCTGGATGACAGGGTTTCAGTTGCTGCCGTGCCCCAGATGGTGCAGGGAGGCCCGAGCAGAGCTCAGCCCCACTCTCTTCTGCATGATCCCCCAAACCAGCCCCTTCACCACAGTGTTTCCTTCTTCAGGGGGACAGCCAGAAATGCCTCCAACCTCACCGGCGCCGTGCCCCAACTCCACGAGCTGCACAGGTAGGGAGGTCCCCTCTGTGTCTGGCAGGGCTCTGCCTGCTCTCCCGGTGCCATGGGAGGTCTTACTCTTCTCCAGCCAGGGAGAAGATTCGTGCCGTGGGAGGCAAGGACGGGTGCTCGGGCAGAGTGGAGGTCTGGCACCGTGGCTCCTGGGGGACGGTGTGCGACGACTCGTGGGACATGCAGGATGCCGAGGTGGCGTGCAGGCAGCTGGGCTGTGGCCCCGCATGTCTGCCCTGCATGAGGCTGCGTTTGGAATGGGGACAGGCCCCATCTGGCTGGAGCAGGTGGAGTGCCGGGGACGGAGCCATCCCTGCAGGACTGCTGGGCCTGGCCCGGGGACAGCGGGGCTTGCCGGCACAAGGAAGATGCTGCCGTGAGCTGCTCAGGTTAGTGGCAGGGCTGGGAGCCCTTGCTCGGGTATTGGCAGGGAGCTGGAAGGCCTTTTGTTCACGTGGTCCGGGCATGGCCCCCGACCTTCCGAGAGAAAGAACATTCCTGTGGAGTGCAGGAGCCCGGTGCCAGGCAGGGAGCAGCCTCGGTGTAACTGGCCGTGCTCTGGCCACTGCCCGTGGGGCCCTGCAGCCCCAGGGCTATCCCCTGGGCTGCCTCTGACATCCTGCCTGCCTCCAGAGTAAGGTGCTGGGCTCTGTCCCGGCCTCCCTTTCTGGCACTACAGGAGGGGCAATTTGGGTGGGATGTGTCAGGGACATCTAGAGACACACACACACACACACACACACACACACACACACACCGGTGTGTTGGGAGGAGGTTTCCTGATACCCACACACCCAGTGTCTCAGCCCAGCTCTCCTTTTCCTCCTCTGCAGCTACACCCAGGATGACAACACCCCCACCCCGAGCAGGTAACTTGTCCTCCCGAGGCTGGTACCCCAGGGCCAGGCTGTGACCCACAGCTGGATGGAAGGGGCTCCTTGCTGGGGTGTGAAACTGCCTGGAGGAGATACTGGAGTGGTGGCAGGGGTTGGGGAGAGCTGTAATTTACCCAGGAGGGTGGAAGCTTCCCTGTCACTCACCCCTGGGGCCATCCACCTGCTTCTGCTTTGCGTGATGGGGCCAGCACTGGTGCTGCCCTTCCAAGTTCTCTCCCATGCAGATCCCACCCAAGGCCGTCAGCAGCAGCGGAGAGTCTCAGTGCCCGTCATCATGTGCATCATCCTGGGGACCCTTGTCTGCCTGCTCCTGGCCCTCCTGGCTGGACAAGTGCTGAGCGCCGGGGCTGGGCGCAGAGGTGGGTCCTTGCCCAGAGGTGCCGGGGGGAGATACCTCCTGCCAGGGCTGTGGGGTGGCGGGGGTATCCGAGGGGCACAGGCAGAGCGGAGGGTGAGACTGTGTGCTGCTACCTGTCACATGTGCTGCCCCATTGAGTGACTGGCCGTGGGGCACCAGCAACAAGGGGTAGAGAGAGCCCCAAGGTGGGGGCAGTTAGCCATGGGGTGAGGAGAGAAATGGCAGAGTGGGGATGGCCAAGGCTGGCTGTGCTCTCGGTAGTGCTGGAGGGGGCTCTGGGCAAGAGAGATGCTAGGAGGAGTGTGGGGCAGCAGGGTCCATCACTGTGGTGTTAGGCCCCCAGGCTGTCCCCCTGCCCAGCCCTGCCCACACCCTGGCAGGACAGGGGCCCTACTATAGACCCGTGGGGCAGGTAGGGGCAAGCTCCAGGTGGAGAGGAAGGGTGGTAACAGATCCAGGGTGAGACAATGGGGACATGGCGCACAGGCCAGAGGGGCATGAGCACTGTCTCCAAAGCAATGATGTGAGGGTGACGCTGCCCCAGATGATCTTCACATCGATGTGCCCTCACTGGGGATGTGGTAGACATGCCTGGATAGCACAGTGGGGCTGTGCTGTTCGGCCTGTCCTGAGGTGGCCCAAGGAACCATTTTGGGGAGCACAGTGAGGTCTATTTGCCCCTCTGCCTGTCCCTGTGCCAGCCCTGCCTCTGTCCCCAGGCTCCAGAAGAGCCCAGGAGCCCTTCCCCGAGGCTGTGTACGAGGAGATCGGGTACAGCCCAGCGTGGGAGAAACGAGCCAGGTTTGATCGCTCAGGTGGGTGTGGGTCTTCCCTGGAGGCACATCCGCAGGACCCATTCCTCTGGCCCCAACCCAGAGCTGACCCCTGAAGCCCCCCAGCCTGTGGTCCCTGTGGTGCTGGGCTGTGGGAGCTGTGGGGAAGAGCATCCAGGTCCTGATCCCAGGAGAGAAGCTTTCTCCCAGTCAGCTTTGACTGTCCCAGCTGGACAGCCCCTCTCTTCCTGCCCCTGCACCCCATGAGACACCCGAGGAGCGAGGCAAGGGGCTGTCCTGGGCCAGCTCTGGAAGCTCCTTTGAGACAGGGTTTGTCCCGGGGAAGCAGGGTGAATTCCCAGCCCTCCTCCCCACACAGCCCCAGCTCTGTGGGTCCCACTTCCCCAGCAGCGCTGACCGTGAACCACGTCAGTGGGGCTTGCTCCATAACACCCGCTGTGCATCTCTCCAGGCTCCTATTCAGAGGAGTCCCTGACCCAGCTGCAGCCCCACCCTGGGGTCAGCGAGGAGGAGAATGGTCTGGGATCAGCACCAGGTAACGGAGGCAGGAAGGGGTTGATCTCCCTGCAGACATGGGGTGGACAGAGGTGTCCCTGAGTGTCACCATCGGAGAAGGGGAGGACATGGGCATCTCTTGTGGTTCTGCCAAGCCCAGTGTCTGCGCTCTGTGTCCCTGCACATCCTCCCATCCTCTGCTCTTCAGGACAGATCTTCTCACTGTCACCAGCTCCCCTCTCCTTTCAGATGTCCTTGTCCTGCCTGGAGGTGACACAGCAGATGGCTACGATGATGCCAGGGAGGTTTCTGACCTGGGGGAGGATGCTGTGCCTGGGCAGGGAGAGTGGGAAATTCCCAGGATGCCAGAGGAGGGAGCAGGGCCCAGGGCTGCACCTGGAGGTGAGAGGGAAAGAGAGTACTGCCTGTTCCTAGGGTGCCATCCCTGGTGCCCCTCAAGTCACTACCCTACTGACACCAAAACCTGCTGGGAAGGGGGAACCTGGCATAGGAGTTTTCCTTGAAAGGCCCAGGGGTGGGAGAAGGAGCTGAAGGTGGTGAGGAGCAGGGAGGGTGGTGGTGTACAGACCCCATGGGTGAACTGAAACGTCCGGCCTTGCTGCTTGCAGGGGGCAGCCTGCGCTCCTGGAGAAGTGCTGAGGTCCCTGGAGCTGAAGGAGACACATCATCCCCGTCCCCGGGGAGCATGGGCTATGATGATGCTGAAGAGGTGCCTGTGGCACTTCTCTGTGAGGACGCAAAGGCTGTGACACCGGAGCTTGGTGCACAGCAGTCCCTGAGCCCCAGGCCAGGAGAGCCCATCCCTGCTGCACAGCTGGGTGCAGCCGGGAGGGAGGAGAGGTCTGTGCAGCTGGGAGAGCCACGAGCACCAGGGGACTGTCTCCCTTGAGCCATGGGCAGCAGAAACCGCCTGGAGTTTCCTCCATTTTTATTCCCATTTTTATGCTGTGCATTCTTATATTTGCTTATTAAAAGCCTCTGGGGGCTTTGACTCAGAGCTGATGCTTCCCTGCCAGGTGTCAGGGCATCTCCCTGAGGCTGCTCAGGGGAGCAGAGAACAGAGACACGGTCGTAGGGAAGGGGCACGTCTCAGGGACAGCAGGCTCAGGGTCAGCCTGTGGGGCTGCGTGAGGCCACAGTCCCTGGGGAATAATCTTGGTGAGAGAGACATCCATCCTGCTGCCCACAGGCAGTTTCTAATCAAAGTGACTCTCTGATAGGTCCCATGATGCACCCCAGTGGGAGCACCCATTTCTTCCCCCAAGGGTTCCAGCTGCTCTTTCCCCCAGGCCCTGCCTGGGCCACACCGATCCCACCATGCAGAGGCCACGACAGAGCTGCCATGTCAGGGTGAGCCCTGGGCTTTTGTCTCACAGAAGCAAGCCCTAAGGTGACCGCAGGTCCCTGAAAACCCCAGCCAGCCCCAGGTGGATCATGGCCCACGGATTACCTCCCACAATGCTTGGGAGGCAGCTCTGCTCCCCACTGCCCTGGCACAGGGTGCAGAGCCACCTCCTGGGAAACACGTGGCTGGGATTCTCTCTCCTCATGCTCTGCCAGGACCCCAGTCTCCATGGGCTGTTCCTCCTGCCTTGCAGACCTGGAGCAGCCCTGGGAAACCCTCCTCCTGCTCCCCTCCAGCTCCCACCCCGCCCCCCTGCTGCCTTGCCAGGGATGTCAGTTTGGGCTGTGTGCGGGGCAGTACTTGTGGGCAGGTACGTGAGGGCTTGGAGCACCGAGGATGAGGGCACTGTTCCCTCAGCGCTGTTAGAGGGCCAGGGGGATGGAGAAAGCTTCCCCACAAGACGCCGTGCGGCAGCCAAAACTGTGCTCCAGCCCCTGGCCTGGAGAAGGGCCCATCCGGGAGGATGCTCATGTGGACACTTTTCCATGGCAGTGGAGATTTTGTGTCCCTCCAGTAAAACAGGTGCTGCTGGGAGCTGAGACAGGGTCCCTCTCCCTCAGCTGGGGTTTCACCTGCCCCAGCACCCACGGCACAGAAACTTTGTGCAGAAGCCAGGCTGGGAGAAGAGTTTGGCACCTGGGCAGGACCTGGCGCCCAAACTGCCCAACTGCCCTCCCTGCTCCTGCTGGTGGGTCTGCGCATGCCACCGGCTCTTCCACAATGGGCTTCTTTTCTGCAGGCTGGAAGGTGCGTTGGGTGTCTGTGGCAGGATTGCCTGTGGGGAGTAGCTGCAGCTCCATAGTGCTGCAAACAGCAGGATCTGGCCCTGGAGCAGAAGTGGAGAGGAGGCAGACGTTGCCAACATCCTCTCCTATTGCAGTGTTGTCCCATTCCCTTCTGGGAGCTCCTCCACCCCTGGGCTGACCCTGGGGGCACCTGGGGGAGCCGAGGTTCACACATCCCCCTGCCCCACACCTGAGAGCCTTCCTGCTGGCAGCCCCCATGGGAGAGCAGTGTTCCCAGGGCAAGACCCCCACAATGATGCGTGACATCCATGGGCATTGCAAACACAGCCTGGATAACTCCCACTGGGATAAGCTCCAGCCCTGCATCTCAGAGAAATAAGGTATAAAGGTGAAGTAAAGAAGAGGGGAGTGTTATCTTCTGAACACGGGATGGTGGGGGCCTCTGGACAGTATGGACACTGATCTGCACACTCCAGGTGCCCCAAGTGGGAACTGGGGAGAAGAGCCCAGTGCCTGTCCGGTGTGACTGCCCCACCAGCTCTGCCCTCCCACAGGTGTAATATTTCTCCCATAATCTGGCACCTGGTAGAGGTTTGCCTCTTCCTCCTTGAGGAAATAAGCCTCAGGCGTGGGTGTGCTTGAGAGGGCAGCACCACTGAGCAGAAAGAACCTGTTTCATGCATTTTGGGACCTAACAGGATGCCCCTGCCAGATGGGTCCCTTCTCTGCATCAAAGCAGGATTGCCACTGTGTCCCAGATCTGTGTCTGCTCCTGCAGCTCCTGATGATCTACCTGAGGGGGGTCGCAGTGAGACCCCAGCCCTCAGCACCACTGCCCCACACTGGGCAGAGCTCAGATGTGGAAAGCCCATGGGAGAGCAGTCTTATTTCTCTGAGTTTGGGCTCCCTGTTCCCAAGGAGGAGCAGTGCAACAGGGCGAGGTGCCCCCAGGCTCTGATGACACCCAGGGTGTGTGGTGGGGGCACACAGGGGCAGAAATCCCATAACCCCTCCTCTAGTCCCTGGGCCTTGCCCTGCACCACTCCATCCCAGGAGGTGAGGTGGACAGCAGGCTTCCATCTCCCTGGGGCTGCGGGTGTGGGTTGGGCTCAGGGATCTCCCCACTCCCTCAGCACTGAGGCCGGTCCTGACAGCAAAGCAGTGCCCTGGGACAGCCCTGGCTGGGGTCTCCGTGGCAGGGTGGCTGAGCACGGGCAGCTGTTAACTCCAAGGCTGAGAGCCTGACCACATGCAGGGGTGGTATCTTCGTGGTGGTAAACATGGGACAATTGTGCTTCTCAGCTGCAAGGAGTGCCTCTCCCTGGGAGTGGGGGACAGTGGCCTCCCTGTGGGCAGTGTGCCCTGGTCTGGGAACTGAGGTTGAGGTGAAGGATGTGTGTGAGGAAAGGAGCAGTCTTTGCACCAGTGAGAATGACCATGAGGAGAGAGACAGAGTCTTTGCAGAGACCCCTCAGTGGAGAGATCCCGATCTCTGTGGAGCAGGGAAGGAGACCCAGCTGGAGAACACCCCAAAGACACACTGAGTGGAGAGTCCTGCCCAGGGGAAGCCTGGGGGCTTGTGGTGCAAGAGGAAGGCTCCTTCTAACCTGTAGATGTGCAGCTACAGCACACGGGCAGTGCTCTGGCAAGAGGGGAAGGAGCAAGGAGGGACAGGGCAGGATGGACAAAGGCAGACGGGCTCTGCAAGACCCTAAGGGAGAAAAACATTGCTGAAACCCATGGTTGAACCAGGGACCTTTAGATCTTCAGTCTAACGCTCTCCCAGCTGAGCTACTTCAGCCCTGCCCCAGCAGCCCTTGTCCCTGTGCCACCCGTGCCAGGCCACAAGCCTGACACACGTGAGGAGAGATCCTTGGGGACGTTCCCAGGAAAAAGATGTGCCCAGTGCAAGCAGAGTGGGCCTGGCCTCTCCGTGCCCTGTGGCCAGGTGGGCTGCAGTTGCGGGGTGGGTGCCAGCTTACAGTGGGAGTGACAAGATATGTGTTGGGCCTTAAATACAAAGGTGATGGTTGCAAAGTCAAGTGAGCAGGCCAGGCACATGCAGCTGCAAAGGCTGAGGAAGAAAGAAGTGTGGGATTGGTGGCAGACCCTCTCACAGAGAAGTGAAGGGCCAGGGGAGGAAGAGCTCGTGTTGGTGCCATAGGCTTTTGCTTCATTCTTGCCTGAGCCAGAGCTTTTTGTTCAATATTGGGAGACCATATGTAGGGGGAAAGGAGGCTTGGAAACCTCCAAGGGTCTGGATTGCAGAGCCTCTCAAGATAACCTCTTCCAGTGTGTAAGTGACCTCATGGTTATGACCTCATGGTCCTCATCTCCTGCCTGAACATTCGTTCCACTTTTGTCCCTTACCTCTCCTTTTCCCACCATCCACCACGATGAAGAGCCTGGCTCTATTTTCTTAGCTGCCTGACAGGTACTGAAATGCTCCTACCAGTTTTCCCAAAGCCTTCTCGTCTCCATACTGGAGAGTGTTCCCTCAACCTTTCCTCAGGTGGGAAGCTCTCCAGCCCCCTGCACGTCTACACATACCCGACTGTATTGGTGCCTCTTCACTGAGCTTGCTCCAGTTGATCAATGTCCTTCCTGTACTGGGGGCAGGAGGCCCCAAACTCAACAGTACTGGGCATGTGGTCTAGCAAGCACTGAATGGAAGGGGAGAATCCCTCCCCCTCAACTCCTGGCCATGCTCCTCTTCAGACAGCCAGGATGCTGTTGGCCTTCTGGGTTGCCAGCCGTCACCGCTGACTCATGTGAAGCTTGTTGACCACCATGACCCGCAGGGCCTTTTCTGCTGAGCTGCACCCCACCCAGGGCTGTTGTCCAGGGTTAGGCCAGCCCAGGGAAAGACTTGGTTGAAGATGAGGGGTGTTGAGGGAAAGGATTAGGGAGGTAGGTAGGGCTTAGATTTCAGGTATCTGGTGAGGTTTTCAGCTTCAGTGATCAGGGCAGGGCTAAGGATGAGAGCTCACCTTTCAGGGTTAGGTGTTAGGGTATAGGCAAAGGTTTAGGGGAGCTGGGCAGTGCCAGGCCTGAGGGGCAAGGATGTGGCACTCGGCGTGTATTTGTCCTCAGAGTGACCGGGGGAAAACCTCAACTGCTGATGACTGCCGGGGGCAGCCTGGTCTCTCCTTCTAGCAGCAAGGACCTGCTCAACTTGGCGTCTCGTAATTTGCATAAGCTGTAAGCAAACTGTTACACCCCTGGGGCTAAGGACGATTTCTTCCAGGAGGGCTGGTTTCGTAACTAGAGATAAGCATGTGCTATAGAAACAGGAGTAGAAGTTGTTAAGGAGAAGAATGCTGTGAGCTAGCAGAAAATTAACTGCAGAAAAAGTCAAGCTGACCTTAGACGTTAGCCAATCATGAGCTCAACTTTTGTAATATGTATTAGGTGATTAACCATTGTGCCAATCAGCTTAAAACACATGTCTCTCTTTGTCTGTTTGGAATATAAAATCGGTTGTTGTGTTCAATAAAGTAGATCCTGACTTGCATCGAGCTGGGTCTCCGTCTCTCAATCGCGGCAAATTGGTGACCCCGACGTGATTCGGGATTAAGAACCACCTATCTGCGTGGCATGCTGCGAGTCCCACAGAACTTTGAATGAGCTGCTGAAAGGAAGCAGGAGCCGGCATTAAGAATCCCTCCGGAGTTGTGAGGTGAGCTGTGGGAGACATGGGAAGTCAGGTGTCTTCCCCAGAGAGGGACGTGTACGAACTTATGAAAGCCCTTCTTGAAAAATATGAAAAGAATCTCTCTGGGCAAGATCTTAAGGTTATGCTCAAGTGGGTACAAGTGAAAATCCCCACTGTAACTGCTTCCAGTATATTAACGACTGAGCTTTGGGATGACGTGGGGATTAAGCTGTGGGACGCGGCTACAACAGGGAATGCTGAAGCACAGCGCATGCTCCCGTGGTGGAGGACTATCTTTGAAACTCTGAAGGCTCAGGAGACCGTTAAGAATAAAGATACTAAAGACAGGAAAGGTCTCCCGGTCGATAAGAAGACCTCGGAGCCTCTTGAGGTGGGCGCCGCCAAGTACCCCCCAGAGGATGATCCTTTTGATCCAGGACCAGTGGACCCAGAGGAGGAGCCAGATCTCTACCCTCCCGATCCCCAGGACGTATGGGCAAATATTAAACGACAAGCCTTAGAGCGCCAGATAGATAATGTGGAAGCGCGGGAAATTCTGTTGTTAAAGTTAGCGGTGGAAATGCCAATGCAGATTGTAAGAAGTTATTGAAATCTCTTCCGAACCCTAATCCCTCTCTCGTGGAAATGGTGGAAGCCTGTAATAGAATTGGCACCGTAGATCATAAATTTGAAGCGATGGCCGCTGCTTTTGCTGCCATGCGTGGCACAGCTGGCCCCGGGGTTTGTTATGGCTGTGGCAAACCTGGCCATTTGAAAAAGATTGTATGGCTGCTACATCTGGAGCCAAGCCCCAGGCACCGGGGATTTGCCCTAGGTGCAGGAAGGGGCGCCATTATGCTAACCAATGTCGCTCTAAGTATGACTCCCAGGGGCAACCGATACAGGGAAACCGATCGCGGAGCGCGGGACGGCGGCGCGTGCAGACACAAGTTCCGCAGTTAACCCCTCCGCTGCCGCAGAGGGATACGACAGTGCCTCAAGCCTTCACCCAGCCACAGCCGGAGCGCCGGGCTGGACCTGGCAACCAGCCACACAGTAACGATGGATCTGGGAAGTCCCATAAATCTGTTATCCTCTGGTGGGACGACCAGCGCAAACAATGGGAATCGGATATAAAGACAGTGCCGGGTTCCCCCCAAATCGTGGAACTGACTGCCATCGTCCGAGCCTTTAGAAAATGGTCTACACCGCTTAATATCATCACTGATTCAGCTTATGTTGCAGGGATTGTTGAACGAGCTGAGGCGTCTGTGTTACGAAATGTCTCACATTTTGCATTATTTGCTTTGTTACAGGAGCTTATTTTTCTTTTAGATTCTCGCATTCATTCCTATTTCATTATGCATGTCAGATCTCACACTTCCTTACCTGGCTTTATAGCGGAAGGGAACCGGCAAGTGACCTGCTTACATTACCGGTACAGGTACTGCCAGACCGCATAGCACAAGCAAAACTTAGCCACGCTTTCTTTCACCAAAATGCTGGTGGGCTTAAGCGACAATTTGGCCTTACTACTCAGCAGGCAACCAGTATAGTTGCTGTGTGTCCCGATTGTCAAAGGCACTCATTTCCTACAATAGCAGGAGGAGTTAATCCTAGAGGATTGCAAAGTTTGCAACTTTGGCAAACCGACGTCACTCATTTTTCGGAGTTTGGTCACTTAAAATATATTCACTCCTCTATTGATACCTTTTCTGGGGCATTATTTGCCTCTTGTCATACTGGCGAAAAGGCGCGCGATGTTCAACGACATCTGCTGCGTGCTTTTGCCACTTTAGGCATACCTTCTCAAAAAACTGACAATGGCCCTGCATATATTTCAACTGCAATTAAAAGTTTTTGAGTTCTTGGGGGATCAACCACATTACGGGTATCCCTCATTCCCCCACGGGCCAATCCTTAATTGAACGCTCTCATCAGTCTCTGAAACGCTTATTGCAACAACAAAAAGGGGAATAGGGACCGTTACCCCCGAGGAACGTCTTCAGAAAGCTTTATATGTTTTTAATTTTCTGAATTGTTCTTTGATAGACAGTAATCCTCCCATAGTCCGTCATTTTAATACGAATGCTTCGCTCGAACTGCAAATCAAGCCGCCCGTGCTGATCCGAGATCCAGAAACAGGTACAGTCATGGGACCTTATCCCCTTATTACATGGGGTAGAGTTATGCTTGTGTTTCTACAGAGAAAGGGCCTAGATGGATTCCCGCGAAGAGCGTACGACCTTTTCGTGAACCCCTGCCACAACCAACTGGAGTCGGACCGGAGTGCTCCAATCAGAATTTTGGACAGCAGACAGAAGAACTGCCCGGAAACATCACAACTGAAGAAGGAATTACATGAATAAGTATCGAGAACTGTCCATTGCAGAAATTACCTAAGGTTAATGTGTGGGTAACGCTGGCGAACCTTACCGGACAGGATACTTTGTGTCTGGCCACAGCCTCCCCTAGCAACCCCTTTTCCACATGCCTTGTGGGATTGCCCCTGGAGCATTGGCCAATACCTGAGGGCCTCCAGGCACAGTTTCTACCTGGGAATGCCTCTAAGAATGTAACAGAATGCTGGGGCCTATCAGGATGGTTGAGAAGCCTTGTAAAAATGATTGTGTATGCTTTAGAGTTTTTATTCTTTTGTTACTTTGTTTACCCTGTTTTTTGCAGTGTGTGCAGAACCTGATAGCCAGTTCAGTGAAAAGGGTCCTTATTGTGCAACAAGAAGGGGGAGATGCCGGGGGCAGCCTGGTCTCTCCTTCTAGCAGCAAGGACCTGCTCAACTTGGCGTCTCGTAATTTGCATAAGCTGTAAGCAAACTGTTACACCCCTGGGGCTAAGGACGATTTCTTCCAGGAGGGCTGGTTTCGTAACTAGAGATAAGCATGTGCTATAGAAACAGGAGTAGAAGTTGTTAAGGAGAAGAATGCTGTGAGCTAGCAGAAAATTAACTGCAGAAAAAGTCAAGCTGACCTTAGACGTTAGCCAATCATGAGCTCAACTTTTGTAATATGTATTAGGTGATTAACCATTGTGCCAATCAGCTTAAAACACATGTCTCTCTTTGTCTGTTTGGAATATAAAATCGGTTGTTGTGTTCAATAAAGTAGATCCTGACTTGCATCGAGCTGGGTCTCCGTCTCTCAATCGCGGCAGATGACCAAAGGCATCACCACTCAAATGGGCTGGGAATTAGCACTGAGCCCCTTGGCAGGGCACATCCAAGGGGCTACACGACACAGGATGTCTCTGTCTCCTTTCTTTGTCACCCTGAAGTCACTTGCCTCTGTTCTTCTGCTCTAATCACTCCCCAGAGAGGCTCACGTCAATCTCCTGAGGGAGCTTCCTCACCCAAACCCCTCAGCACGCCCCACTAAACCCCAAAGACTCTTTATTCCTCCCATAGCTCTCCAGACTCAGTAACTTTCTCCTGGGAGCTTGTTAGAGTCCAGCAACTATAATTAGTTTATTCTTGCATCTTAATTTCTGTCCAGTTGTAGGGGGGCTTTTAGAACAGACTGTCTTTGAGGATGGGTTTTGCTAAATATAATGATGTTAACAACTACATGATGTAAAACAAGTGCATTTCTTTCTCAGTTATACCTCAGAAATGCTTTGAACATTGACAAATGATTTTTCTGTTGACTGTAAAATGTTGCCCACAACACCCCAAATTAATTTGCTAGAGGTGGGCATGGAATAAGGAGGCACAGGAAGATAGGCAGGGAGATCACTAGAGGCATGAGGTCGTAACAGGGCTCTGGGCTAGAAATTTGGCCAAGAAGGTGGAAAAGTTGATTTAAAGTGCCAAACTCTCTTTTTAGCCAACTTGCTAATTGTGCGTATAGTTATAATTTCCTATCTATTTGTCTAGCATATTTCTTTTATGGTCATCACTTGAGGAAGGTAGACCTTAGTGGAGGCTTGGATTTGGCATACAGTTGAGGACTTCATTGTTGTTTGTTTGTTTGTTTTTTAATAATTTGTTTCATATTTTACTTCCGTTTCTTCAAAATTAATAAGATTCCTGTGACTATTTACAGTCAAGTCTCAGGGTAAATCAGGTGGGAATTGGTGCAAAGGAGCTGTAACATTCAGCTGTGAACATCAGTGAGGAAGTCTGATGTAGAAGAATGCAAGTCCCAGGCAGCCCCTGAGGGAAATGGTGGGGCTGGGGAGGTGGGGAGGAAAGTTTCCCATACAGTGGGGGACCATGAGGAGACCGCTGTTGCTACATTTCCTGTCCTCCGTAGAAGACCATCAGAATTGGAGAAAGCTTCTCTCACTTCTGTAAAATTAAGAAAGGATTAAAAACCCCTTCAAAATGAACAAAGAAAAAAAAATATTTACGAAGTTGTCATTAAAATCTTCCACTTTAAGTAGACTCCTGAAGCCTCTCCAATTAGCTGTACAAGCCTGGAAGTCCTGAAATAATTGATGGAAGAGATGTGGCTCCTTTGGGTTTTCTGCACTTTAATGAGACCCGGGGTGTATTTGGTGCTTGAACCTCAGATACTGAGAGGACCTGAACCAACCTCTGAAGGGGTTACAGTCAGAAGCAAAAGCCAAAGTGTCTTGGAGTGTTAATTGGCCCCTCTGAGGCCCATTACAGACCAGGTGTCCCCATGGATTAGTTAGAGAAGAAAATTGGAGGCTGTGAGTACAGGTAGGCAAAGGCACTGTGCAAGGGGAGTTGATGCTGAGTAAAACTTGATATATTTTATCATGCCAAGTGGTCAGCCCCAAGAAGGGGGATCCCATCCCTCACACTGGCTCAGGGCTCTTCCTGGGGCACTGTGGGGTGGGGTGGGCAATGCTGAGTGCAGGACAGTGGTACCACAGCTCCCAGCCTCCCTGGGGGGCTGCAAGGAAGCCACGACGCCCCAGTTCCATGCAATTATCATGTCTCTTTCCAGGCCTTGGTAGCAGAGACAACTGCCATAGCCAAGGGGACAGAGACCCCCAGGCTGTGGACACCCAACCTATAGCATCTCCCTGACTTTCCTGAGATCTCTCCTTGCTCCCTGCCTGTTCCTTGGAACACAAAGCATTGCACTGATCCAGGCTCTGGGTGACATCTGGCACCACAGCACTACCCTTCAGGGGACATTTCTTTCTCCTCCTGTCCAGTCTCAACTTCCTAAGCTGCACTTTGTGATGCTTTTCCTTTCTCAGGTGGTTTCCCACTACAAAGAAAAGGTCCAAAATCTCTGAAAACACCCCAAACTCCTAATTTCAAGCTACTTTTTTACTCCCGCACGACCTTCCACACCATCAGGACAAGGAAGCCCAGGTCCCTCAGCCACTCCACATACTTCATGTGCTTCATGCTCCCTAAACCCACCTTTGCAGACATCCTCTGGGCACTCTCCCATTCCTTCTTGCTCCTCAGAATGGGAAGCCCCAGAGAATGTTATCGGTGTGACCACACCAGTGCTGAGTCGAGGGGGATGATAACTCCCCGTGTCTCGATGGTCATGGTACAATGCAGCTCCGTATGCAGGAGCTGGCTCTATTCATGGTGAGCCTTTACCAGCGGCACATATGGCATCACTCACAGTGCCCAGGGCCTTCTCCTCAGACTCACTCCTCTGCTGGTCCGGTCCCACTTTGCCCCTTCTCCTTGTACAACTTGAGGTTCCTGCTGGCCAAAGCCCCAAGTATCTCAAGGTCCCTGTGCACTGAAGCTCCAGCACATCAGCATTTAAGGCACGTGTGCAGATGGTTCGTCTGAGAAGACAATAACTTGAGTGGATGTATGGCAGTATGGGTAAGAAAAAGAAATGCTCATTTAATGGAAGTGATGACGAAGGTGGAAAGCACCACTGTAATGATGAGATAGCTCATCCCCAGTCACACTGAACTTCACAGGAAGACAATGAGCAGTGAGGTTGACCTACATCTATGTGCCTCAGAAGGTCAGTACCGCACCTTATTGGGCAACGACAATGTCAAGTTTGGGGATAAAAGTGACAAAAATCAGCATTTGCTGCTTTCCAAAACTTGCAGCAAACTCCTGCCAGCAGGCAGCGGAGGAACGGATGCAGAAGCCACCCCGACAAGAATGTTGTGCATGCTGAAAAGTCTTTTTGGTAGAAGGCAGATCATGACGAGGGCTGAGCAGTTTGTCACAACAGGCAGAGCACAGACTGACATTTCCGATCCTAGTTCACGTGACTGCAAAGAACAACAGGAAGGAAACTGGTGCTTGCAAAAGGCCTGGGTCTTGAGCATGAGCCATGGCCTTTGGTCACAGAGGCCAAATGATCCAACCAGCTGGTGTGCATGTCAGATGCAGAGGGCAGTGGGGCCCATAAGAACTTCCCTATTTGACAAAAAGGGTTGCAAGGAGCCAGGCTTACCAAGAAAGGCAATCTGCAAAGTCCTGATTTCAGCTGGGACAGAGTTAATTTTCTTCCTAGCAGCTGGTGCAGTGCTGTGCTTTGGGTTTAGGGTGAGAACAATGTTGAGAACACAGGGATGTTTTAGTTGTTGTTGAGCAGGGCTTATCCTAAGTCGAGGATTGTTCAGTTTCCCATGCTGCCAGTGAGGGGGGGCACAAGGATCTGAGAGGGAGCATGGCCAGGACAGCTGACCTGAAGTAGCCAAAGTGCTATTTGATACCACAGGACATCAGGCCCTGTATATAAACATGAGGGAGGAAGGCGGTGGGTTGGCCGGAGATGTGGATCACTGCTTGGGGGGACCAGCTGGGCATGGATCAGTGGGTACGGACCAATTGCACTGGGCACCACTTGTCTTCTTCTTTGGTTTTACTCCTCTCTTTTTTTAATCTTCTTTTTCATTACAATTATTGCAATTATTTCTATTATTATCATTAATATTATTATTATTACTACATCTTCTTTCAATTATTAAATTCTTCTTATCTCAACCCATGAGGATTTTTTGTTGTTTTCATTTTTTTTTTCTGATTCTCCTCCACACCCCACCAGGGGAGATGTGGGGATAAGTGAGTGAGTGGCTGCATGGTGCTTACTGTCAGCTGGGGGGTAAACCACAATATTCCTTTTTGGTGCCCCAAATGTCATCTGATGGTGTGACCACAGCCCTGAGCAGTACAGCTGGGAGTAGCAGTTGGTCCTGACACCATCATCACTGTGCAGTAC